TCGCCGATAGACAGGTACACTCCGAGGTATATATTTTTTTATTCAAATATACGAGGATGATCTTTTCAATTTTATTTGGTATGCATTTGTAGCAACAGCATGATAACATTTATTTGTTTTTATTTGCGTTTTATATTCATATTGATAATTCACGTTTTGTCTTGGATAATAAAGCACGGTTATGCATAATAAATTGTATGCATAATAAATATTCACTATCACTGTATGAGGTAAGAATCAACAGCTTTTTATCACATTTACACAACACTTTATGAATACAAGTCATGAACAAATCTTAAATATAGCAGGGAATGTTTTTTTAGTTTTGATTTTGAGCAGCAAATTTGGAGTTACATATTGGTGCTCACCAGGAATGCATAGGCAAAATTGCACAAATTTTCACTTGAAAGAATAGTGGCGATCTTGGGATTTTTTTCTGTTCAATTTTCAAACTGTGTAAATTTAATACACTTCATCTTCAGCATGTTTAGTGCCACTTTTGTGAGTAACCACGCCCCCGTCCAGGCCACGCCCGCCCAGGCCACGCCCCTTCCGCTTTTTTCATCACTCGCCATTGCCATGTATGTGATATACCTGAGTAATTATGTTTTCTTTATCTGTGTACAACATTGTCCCTATTTCCTTTGACATATTCAAAATGTAAGAGCTATCATCTTCTTTTAAAAAGGCACCCACATGAATGTGCGTAACATCTTTTATTTCTACAACAGGGTTCCCATGGGTCCTTAAAGTTCATAAAAATCCATAAAAAAGTTGTACAATTATGTTCTTAATTGTCCTTAATTTTCAGGGAAAGCTTCTAAAATCAATAAAAATCCTTAAAAAAATACTTTTATTCGAAAATAAATTGAAGTTTTATATTTTCTAAATAAATTTTTTTCTTAGTGTAGTTTATTTGAGAATGAATTCAAGTTTTTTTTTACAGGTAGGAAAATTAAAATTTGACATACAGTCTGTCAAATAAAGGGTTAGCTGATTGCCCCTAAAAATAAAGATGTGCCCTTCCTTTGGTAGCAATGATTTGAACACCAGCTCAGTGATATGTGGCTTTCTGTTCAGCCCGCATACTGCTGAGTGGGCATTAAATCCTCCGTGAATCCCCTGCTGAATGGAGAAAAAGTCCTTTAAAAATTGCTAAATTAGCCCTCAAAAGTCCTTAAAAGGTCCATAAATAAGAAGCAAGAAGAAGAGTGGGAATCCTGTATAATTGCAAAGTACAAACAAACTGTGGTCATCTGTTGTACAGAAAAGTGTCGCAGTGAGGAGGATATGAAGAGCATGGACAGCCGCAACAAGATTACTCAAGACATTTTGCAGCCAAAAGTTGAGCGTTGTTTATCCGAAGAGGAGGGCAGTTCAGATTACCCTTTTGAATTCTCCGACAATGACAGCGACTCCTCTGACATTAGGTAAAAGTTTTGGCTGTTGCAACAGCTTTATATTTGATTTTTAAATTGTCCTACTGCAATATTACCTCAACTACAACACCACAATAGAAATGGCAATGTCCTTGATAAATGTAGTCATTAATACAGTATGCTTGTCTTTCTTTTTGATAATGAGGAGCACCAATTTGTATTTTTGTTTGTTTTTCAGTCAGCCTCTAATAATCTGCAGACAGTGTCCAGGCTACAGGAAAGAGGTCGGTCAGAGGCTGTTTGCCACAGGCTCAAACTACTGGCTTCCGGGTCCTCCAGTCCCACCTCCTGTGTCTCCTCCTCTTCCACCTCCTATCACACCAGCTGCAGAAGAAGGTTCTGCAAAGCCTTTCGGCGAAGAGCCCTCAACGTCGTCTGACAACCCACCAGGTATCAGATTAGATCCTTTCCTCGAACTCTCTTCTTTAAAAAAAAAAAAAAAAACAACAACAAAAAACACAATAAAAAACGGGAACGTCCCTATCATTGTTTGCAGCTCCTCTGGAGTACCGCTGTCACCCTCTAGGCTGTCATCTGATGTGTAGCTGCTGCCTGCAGCCAATGCCAGACAGACGGGCTGAGTTGAACAGCCAGCAGCAATGTAAGTACTTAGTTTACTGTATAAGACAATTGAGTGTACAAGCATGCACTTGGGGCAATACACAGAAAGTTGTCTTGGATATTAAAAGTGCAAATAACGTTATTTCAGTGTTGCTCGTGCAGAACCCATTTCCACTCAAGCACTTAAGACCCCAGTCATGTTCACATTGTTGTTGACCGGCAGACCAAGGTTACTGGGTGAAGTCTGCCCTGAGCATTAACATGTACTTCTGTTCGGAAAATCAAATTCTTCTCCCTCTTCTTTGCCCTACTGGCCTGCGCTCGCATTGCTTTTTCAACTTTTGGGCTTTGATTTTAGCTGTGCCAATAACTTCATGACATGACCAATGGTGGTTATCATGAATAACTGGCAAAGAAGAATCACGTAAAAGTTACCATATGGCATGTATACTTTGTGTGTGCACAGCGGTGAGCGATAAGTATCGTCCTCGATATTATCGTCAGAGTTGCTGTCACGATGTACGGTTTTACATTATTGTGGATTACTACTGTCTCCAAAACGGACCCGTGCAAAAACAAATGGATCCACTGATTTTCGGCAAATTTGGAGGAAGTGATGAAATCCTTCTTCCGCGAATCAGCGTGCATAGACAGCAAAGGAAGAGGAAGTGGTAAGTCTTCATTCTGTGAATCAGCGGGCAGGATTAAATCACGTGACTCCATTGTAGCAGCCGAGGGAATACACTTTTTTTTTTTTTTTTAATATATCTTTGTTGTAATGCAATTTTAGTAATGTTAGCGTGCCAGATTTTTGGGGGGTGAATTTATTGTTCTGCACAGCCTGCAGGTGTGATGCATTGTTTGTTGGCAGGTTCGCAGTGCCAGCGTCCTTTCTGTCACATTTATTGGGGTTGCCAGAAGATTGGCTGTCAAGGCTGCCTGGCTCGAGTCAGTGGTATGGATCTGTTTTTGACAAGATATCAATCTGCTTAGTAGCTGCTGTACGCTACACTGCTGTCTGAAAACGTAATGCTCTTTCATGAAAAAAAGAAAGCCAAGTTTATGTCACAGCACGCGTAACCTGCTTAGAACATTGACTGCAGTGTTGACCGAAACACTTTTGATTATTCTTTATTTTATCACCTTTATGGACTGACCAGAAGTATTGCACTTTCCATTTTCTTGCAGAGCTCAATCTGACGGACAAATGCCTGGACGGTGTGCTGAATAACAATAGCTATGAATCTGAGATCCTAAAGGTGACTTTGACTCGTGCCGCCCCTTTTCCAAATCCTGTTTTTTTCCCTGCTGCTGTGGGTTTAGTCAGTGCTTCCTGTTGTGCACTCACCAGCTGAACATTGAACTGGAGAAATGCAGAACATTGAGCATTGGGGATTTTTTTTGTTTGTATCCCTTCTACCAAAATAGGTTCATGTTTGATGTTTGTACAAATCCCCGCTGGCTGGCGGAAACCCCCTATGACCAAATGTGGTCGCTTTTTTTCTTTCACAAATTGCTAATACTTGGACTGATATTTTTTTGCAAAACTAACCTATTCAATGCGGTGAAAATTTCTTGAGAACAAATATACTGGTGCACTTGAGCGCAACTCATGTTCGGGAACTGTTCAAAATGCTGTCTAGTTCTTCAGAGTCTGTGCCTATTTGATGCCTCGTCTGTATGGTTAATAGGAAATAATGAGTCAAAATAGACAGCGTGAATGCATTTAAGTTGGCTTTTTTTTTAATTGATTGTGCAAAATGCTTTGTTACACAAGGGCCCTCATTAGCCTCAGTCTCTGCATATTAATATTCACTTAATAAATTAGTGGACTCATTGTTTTATGGATTGCATCGCTCATGGCTTCAGAGCTTTAAGAAGGAATATATGGGGATCACGTCAGCCACAGGCGTTTTTGAGATGTATTAAAAGGCCTTTTGCTCGGTGGGTCCTCGGCATGACCGTGGACTTTGAAGTGGACTTTGGAGATCTTCCATCAAATCGGTAGAAGAGCTGTCTACCACTTTTTCCCTTTTAGGTTCTATTTTAGAGTTATAGTAGTTTGTGTGTTTATAATTGACCCGAATCACATGATGAAACTTTATGAACAGAAAGTTCTTTCAGTTAAATATTGTAACCCTTTCCGGACTTAAATAGTGAATGAAAACTGCTGAAAATGAAACCTACGACCTTATCTGTCAATGTGTGCTTTTTATCCTTGCGCCAGAATTATTTGTCCTCCAGAGGCAAGACATGGAGGGATCTGCTCAAGGAGGCTGTGCATGACTTGCAACAGGGGAAATTTTGCCTTTCAGGTGAGCCCTGAAACCACGGCCTATTTAGGATGTTGTCTATGAAGAAATGTCACCCGCATCCCACCGATCTCCTTAGATCAAAGTATTTCTGCAAATACAATCCTTTGCGTTTGCTGCGGCCTGATGGTCTTCAAGGAGTTGGCGTACAAGTACAGACAGAACATTCCTCAGTCTGAACTACCAGGTCAGATGTCTTGGAAGTTTTTGTTATTTGTGTTTGTTTGTTTATTTATCCCCCCCAACTGTTGAGAGAGCAGTTTACATTGAGAGGAAACATTTTCTTAAGTCCTCAGATCAGCCATTCAAACCTTGCAACATTTTTCAACCAGCACTACGTTGTCGGGATTCACAGTAGTAACGGATGCAAACGCGGATGCAAACGAGTACGACACGTTTATTGTAACTCACGACTCGGCCAATCGAATGTGTTTATTCAGCACAGCTGTGCACATGCATCTCTATACTGGATATGTGGATTTATGTTTGAATTCTTTGATATTCAGAAATGGATATCGGCCACCTAATCAAGGCTGTGTGTGACAAATGAGTTTCTTGTCACCTTGTGATACCTATTCCAAAGTTATAAAAAGAGGATTATATAAAATAGCATTGTATTGGTTGTTCTCATTCCATGTGAGAGAACACCGTAAAAAATATTCGTCATAAAGTGCGAATGGGTTTTCATCTGAACCTCTCAAAATGCCATTAATATAATTGACAGACACATTGAGCAATATTAGAGTGACCATCTGAATGAGGTATTTTTTAGCATTCCATTCAACAAGTTCTTCAGCTGCTGTTGAGAGTGGCGAATTCAACGGCTCCTAATGTGTCACTGGCATACAACGCAGGAGGTCCTAGTTTGCAAAGTTCTGAGGTTGCAAACGGGGCCTAATAAATAGTTTGCGCAGTTAGCTGCCGTACTCCCCGTTTTCATTTAAATGCTTTATATTGCGGCTTTTAAGTGTCTTTCAGACAAACCTGTTTTGAAGACCGCGTTAGTGTCTAACAGTGACGGTGTGCAATTGTAAACCGAGGACCCTCTGTACAACAGTGTGACATCTTTCGGGATGATTTGACAAATTGTTACATTTTACAATACAATATAATCGTTTTTAAAATCGTTGCGTCCTTAAATTGTATCGCACCTCGTCTATTGAGATAGATATCAAATCATCCTTCATGAGAGCTCTACACCAGATATATAGATCGGCTTGATGTTGCTGACGATTTATTGTTTCTTTGAATTGCATTAACTTGGATCGTTTTGGCCTTTTACATATCGTTGCATATTAATAGACATGACAAAATCTACAGCACACCCATAGATATCTTTGAGAACTGCAAGTTGGTCACTCAGAAGATAATTTTAAGTACATTTACTTTTTTTTTTGTAATTAATATTTCTTTGAATTGAATGCTGCTACTGTCTGGACTAGATGGCTGGCTATGTGGAGTTCCTCTGTTATCGTAGACTACTCTTGAAATGTATCTTCCTTCTCTCAGCTGCTGTATTGTCTCGGCCCGACTGCTACTGGGGACGTAACTGTCGTACACAGGTGAAAGCTCATCATGCGATGTAAGTCATTTACATACAACTTGAGCTATTTCCTTTTTTGCAACGCTGACATCAGACCTTTTTGTTGATCCTTTTGCATTACCTTGAGCCATGTGCGTTCCCTAAAGTCACCGTCCCAAAGTCCCTTTTAGACTGATTAGAAAGGACCCTACATTCATTGCAGCTTTTAAATGACCTTTTGCTAAGACCCCTTGGTGTCTGGTGACGACAAGCTTTCATGACACTTGTTGGAGAAACAACAACAAGAAAAAAAATCACTATATCTCGCGATGAGACAGCAAGAAAAACGGGTAATGCAGTTCCCGTAAGGCTGGATAGCTCCATCATCGTGAAAAGGCAAGAAGACGATACAAACATTACAATCAGGACACATGGACCAGTTGGGGCCTGACTTACGATAGGTTTGCCTGTGCGTAAACGAGAGCAAACTGTTTTTATTGCTCACACAAACAAATATTGACACCCAGTATTGTGTCTGCCCAACGGGCAAAATTGCCACAGAGTTCATTTTGCACATTCTGGCAGGAGAGGATGCAAATGGGTAAACTTTGCGTTATGTTGCTAATTTGCGCTTGCTGATTTCGCATCTTAAAATACTGAAAGGCAATTGCAAACCGGCAACGCAAACCGATGACGGAAATATGATCTATTACGCTCGTCTGAACATTTTGGCCTCTTCCACTAACACTTCTATTTGCCTCACTTTAATCCACCTCAGGGAGGTGGTTTAAAAATTTGCTCCAGAGCAAATGCTCGTTTGCGGGGCAGCACCGATGTAAAATGGTACGTGTGAACGCTACAATTTGCTCCGGAGCAAATGCTCGTTTGCGAGGGGGAGGTAGCCTCGCTACGCATGAGAAGAGTTGATTACGTACGGCGAGAATGCCTTGCTTTCGTGCTCTGTCGGACTTCCGTCATGTGTTTGTTTAATAACAAGACACAAGACATGGCTGGTAACAGTAGCAAGCACCTCTTGGGTTATACCACCTCAACTAGAACGTGGGGGATAGTCCCCAAACAAATCTTTCCTTTTGTAGGAGACTGGACTGTCTCGGAGTTGTTTGTGTAGTTTGTTCCTTTGTTGTGTGTTCACAACCCCCCGTGCCCCATAGAATTTATTTTGTGATTTCCTCTCTTGATTTTTCTGTTTGGCGCATTATATTTTTGCTTTTCTGAGTGTCATTGAAGTCATCGTTGATAGAAACTGCCGTGTGAATGCAAGTGGAGCTGCGCCGGTGCTAATACGCTCAGGGGCTTTGTACGTGTAAACGCTCCACAAAATTTGCTCCGGTGTAAAATATATCGCAACAAAATATATCGGTGCAGCGCCGGAGCAAACGTGTGCCGTGTGAACACCCCTTATGTCACATAATGTCACGATTTATGCTTCGATGAACAACAGCTTGCCATAATTTTACAGATACCGTATTTTCCACACGATAAGGTGCTTCGGGGTATAAGGCGCACCTTCAATGAATGGCCTATTTTAAAACTGTTCATATATAAGGTGCACCGCATTATAAGGCACATAGAAGCTACAATAGTGACGGAGGTTGCATTATGCAGTTACTAAATGGAGCTATGCTAAAGGGAATACATTACAACAATACAGCTTTATTTATAAAGAGCCTTAACAATCGCTGCAGCTTTAATAAAGTGCTTTACAGAACATTTAAAATATTATGTCCAAGAAATCTGAATATTTATCCATACATAAAGCACATCGGATTATTAGGCGCACTGTCGGCTTTTGAGAAAACCGAATGCTTTTAGGTGCACCTTATAGTGCGGAAAATACGGTAATTCAAATGCATGCGGTACTTGGTTTTAACAACAGTATTCTGTTCCACTGGCGGTATCGTAACCTGAAATTGGACCAACTTTTTCCTACCAAAACATTACACTTCATCGAGTCTGTTGTGAAACCATTATTTAAAAAAACATGTGCGTGTGTGTGTGTGTGTGTATATATATATATATATATATATATATATATATATATATATATATATATATATATATATATATATATATATATATATATATAAAATCTATGATCATCAATATCTCTCTATATCTATAAATATATATATCGCACACGGTAACTAAAATGTTAAGTCTAACATGGATTGGAGATATATATATATACACACACATAAGTGCTTATTTCTGCACTTGGCCAGAATACTTTTCTCTCTGGAGTGTGGCAAAATAAAAGGTCTATTCTTCTACTTGTTTTATTTTTATCTTGTTTACCACTAGAGGGTGTGCTTGTATTATTGTGGGTCTCAAGGCTGGACAAAATACAACCTGTGGGCACTGTTGAAATTGTGGCTAAAATATGTTATCTTCATGATTTATCTTGATCTCAGGAAGTTCAACCACATATGTGAGCAGACCCGCTTCAAGAGCTGAGTGAACAAAGCTGCTGTTCAACTCACAGCACAACGGAGACACATCTCATCTGGTAGCATTCTGCCTGCTGAAGCTGGCCCTGTTATGCACACAAAAATATTAATTCAAAAAAAAAAATTCCATTCAGATTGGACTATGTGAAGTACCTTTATGCACATTACAGTTTAGGTATGGGGGGTTGAGATTTTGATTTTATATTTTGTCTGGCTGCTGCATTTTTTAGGGTCTCCTGGCAGACCAGACAACCGCTTTGCTTAGATTAGCAGCCAAATGTGCGTTGTATCCTCTCATCCTTATGTAGACCTGCTGATTTGTGTATAGTTTGTGATCAAATTTACTGTCATACGAAGTTCCTGTCTTAGAATTAAGAGCTTCCCCTGTGTGCACTCATTGAAACGATGACGTGAAATACAGATTTTAGGCATTTTCTGAGAGTATAGCTCCCATGTATATTACATATTATTGAAGTCGCCAAAGTGATGCTCTTGAGTTGCATTTTGGCAAGACACCAAGTGCCACGGGCAGCGATTACTAGGCATGAGTGCGTAGCTGCATACGGACAGGACTTGATTCCCATACACAAGGTTGCCATGTAATAAAGGCTAAGCCGCAAGCAGCCAGTCGTCGCGCATCAAGCTGAGGCTGATGTTAGACTGAAGTTGATTACTTTTACAGTGCTGTTTTTCGCTAAACAAATTAACCAGAACAATCAGTGCAAACCATGGTTTTTCGAAATGGAAATCTGTTCCGTTTACCTGATGCAGTTTATTCTCCACTTTGCTCATTATGCAAATTATTTTCATTCGAGGCTCTTTGTTTTATAATGAGAACACGGTTAGTGAGTGGGAAGGATTGGGATAGTTCCAAATGTTATCTTGTTTCTCAGGTTTATGACGCTGCTGTAGAAGTTCAGTGTGTACAGTATATAGAGCCGTGTATGTTTATGACACGTTAGAAAACTCTGTATACTCATCACCTGGGAGGCAATGGGATGTGCCTCCACATTATGTCAAAAATTCCTTATCATAATACAATGTTTCTGAAAACAGTTTACTTGTTACCGCTCTGTTGTTGTTCTTGTCAGAGATAAGTGACTCAAGAGGCCTTAACTGTTAAAAGAAATGAGTCAAATTGACACCCCCCCCCCAATACACACACACTTGTTGGTGTGTGAACTTTAGGTGAATATGAAGAAAAGTGAGAAGAAACTGTTAAAACAGTCTTGCTGGCATCCAGTGTGTGTCTAGACTCTTAAATCACATCTTTGTATTAGTTCACTTGATGTATAGGAAAATAAGATTTGCTGTGTTTAAAATGACTTTTTTAGAAGATTTGCACAAAATTCCTCCATTCATGCAACAACCTTTATTTCATTAACTGTTAAGTTGTCATGATCCCTAAAACATGTATGTTTCCATGTTCAAGGTATGTATTTTTATAGCACCTGTGAATTGGGCAGTCATTAGAAGGTGCTTGATTCATTTTCATCCAGACGTACCGGAAAATTGTTGTGACTTGAAGCATGGATAGTCTGTGGTGTTTGCAGTCCTGCTTGTCTGTATTTTTTATTTTATTTTTTTGGACAACATTAACAGCCCTGATCTTGTGTGTGAATTTGTTTTGAATGCGCATTTTCCTTCCTTTGTCACAGAATTTAGTCAAGGCGTAAAGATTGTTGTTTTGTTTATTTTACCCCCCCTAGTCATGGTGTATGGTCCATTCAAGCATTCCACAGCAGCTCAGCTCAGACCCTCTGCACCAGTCCAGTCGATCTCCTGACAGAAGGGCTGAGTTTTAATTATTCCCCACCGGAGATCTGGGCACTCTAAGCCAACAACAGTACCAAGCCGCTCCAATCAGGAATTGGTATTAAAGAGGCTTTGGAGTACTACTTTGCGTTTGCCACAAGACGGGAGCTATATTGTAAAGTAGTGAACATGTTTACTCACTTTGTCGAAAGTTTTTGACCACGCTGGATGGAAGAAGCAATGCTCACTGTAACTCATAGCAGTTCCCAGGAATGACTCGGATGATGACTCAGAAGATGCCCTCACTCAGCCAAGTTTTGAATCAAATCGATATGCGTACCCTTGGTCCATCACGTGCCATGAAGCCCCCAATTAGATGCTAGTGGAATACAAGCTTCATTCCCATTTAGAATCATTCCCTTGTGTTGTACTGTGTTTTGGGGGGCAAATCTACAATTGTTTTTGAGATGGTTCTGATTTGTGGTTTTAACACAGCATTAAAAAAATAAAAAGCTTGACAATGCCTGACTTGCTTTTTGTCATTCATATTTTGCATGTTTTCAAAATTTGTGTCAAATACCAGTGTAATGTCATTTCATGTTTAATCATTATCTTCATTTGTTCATTCCCCATTATTAAAATTCTTGTTTTGTTGAAGGCCACCTGCAGAATGTGGCAATTAGCACATCCAAAACATGAGCAGACGATGGACTGCGATCTCACAAGTCTTCAATACACACTATCGCCACACATTAGGTACACTACATAAGAACGACAAACTTTATTTAAACTTCACATTAATTCATATGAACTCATTTTATAAATACTATTGTGATTGCTTTTTGTTTTTCTCTCAATTCATCTACTGATATATGTTAGTATATATTTTACAGTGTTTTCATTTCCCTTTTATAATCCAGTTAAAGTATACAATACACTGTATGTTTGCAAGCAATAAATGTATGACCTATACTTTGGGGAACCCAGTATGGTGTGGGGGCAGGGGAGTGATGGCTAGAGGATATGACAATTTTTTCACATAATACACACTTGAATGAGTAATCAAAATGTCATGGTTGGAGGACAATAATTCACCAAAATGCATCAAACTAATACACAAATCTGACTTTGAAAAAAGTGCTCCTAAAAGTTTTTTTTTCAACCGCAGCAATTAGGACCTCAGCATATATTGAGCAGCAACCAGAAGAATAATACATTCCAGAAAGTAGCAATCATTTTTCAAAAGTTGATTTCTCCCGTTAAAGTAGGTTATACATAAAAAAACAACGAGCACTAACGATGGTTCAGGAATGCTTTACTGGCCCACCAGTCTATTCAGCAAGCATCTTGCTGGTCACATGTGGTTGGTTACACTGCTCAACACTGGAGGCTGGCTGTGTGGCAACTGGCAGTCATTGATGGCGGCGGGTTTATTGGAAGGGACTGGACAACCCCCGCCTGACACCTGGCTCCCGAATGGCCGCCACTCCAGTCTGACCTTTTGATTCTGAGGGCTGAGGCTGGAAGTCATACCGGCAGGTCTTTTGCTGTCAAATATTCCCCGAACCAGTCCATTCTGGATGACGGTCCCAGTGGTTTGGCCCAGGTGTTCAGCTGAGACCAGAGGCTGCCGGTCCTCTTCCTCAGAGATAGCAAACACAGGTACATTCAAGTGATCGCCCTCACCTGGGAAATCACATCTTTTTGTTGCCTGGTGACTCTCAATGTCAGCCTGGATAGCGGAAGAAGAAGCAGAGTTGGGCTCTGCTTGGGAGCTCTGCGTGTGATTGAGACCGGTGGTCTTGGTAGGCACCGCCGTCCCAGAGAGCAGACCAAAGCAAGGCCCCGCGAAGCGGGAGCGCCGCAGGTTGCTTGCCGAGTTCAGACGCCGCTGCCTCTGGGCGGCCTGAGCAAGTGGATAGGAAGCATTACTGATGGAAGAGTCGGAGATGGTGCTCGTGTCGGTCTTGGCCGCCAGGTGAACATCTGAGAAAACCTTCCTGTTATCAGATCCCAAACCGGGAGGTGCCTGCAATGACAAAGGATAATTAGTCTTCAACAATAGACGATTTTCACCAAGGACATTTTGATTTACATAAACAGTTCAGAAGGTAAACATTAGCATTGGCAAAGGCGTGTGAAACGTACCAAAATAATTTATCACCCTTTTGGGTAAAAACCTCAGTGGCTAAGTAACTCATAGGCGGGGCTACACCTGCCATCAACTGGAATAGCCGGAAATGATCCCAAAACACGCCTTTTCTAAAAGATTCTTGTGAAAAGCTCAACTAAGAGGACCAAATTCAAGATGTTGCCCTCATTGCGCATTGATTATACTGTCATACTGATCGAATGCCACATACTGTATTTGATAACCACCTGGCCTACACACCATGAAAGTGAGAGCCTAAACTACATCAGTCTTAACCCATTTAATCCCAAATTTTTCCCAGACATTTAAAAGTCAAAATCAGGTGTCATTGGTAGCCCTTTTAAGTAATCAGTAATACAAATTTTTAGAGCCCTGTAAATTAAATCGTTGTCCTTCACAAATGTGACCGGTGGGATTAAATGGGTTAACCATACCAAACAGCCAGGGGCGGAGCTATGTGGGGGCTGGGGGAGGGGCGGTGGTCATCAGGGCACCACTTGTCAATCTATGGTCACCCCTACATCTCGGGAAAGAGTTTGATAGCTGTGACTTTTCTGCCACTTTCACATGGATGCATTGCTCTTCGAACCCTTGATACTCTGCCAAGTTATTAATAGCAAATGCATTTTTTTTTATAATGTATACAATGCAAACTGTAAAAGAATCTGTCTTCAGTAAGGAAGACTTAGGGAAAAAAAACAACAAATGGGTTAAGAACAACCCAATATGGGTAAAAATAAATAAATAAAAGAGCCAAATCACAACTTTCCGCATCGTTTTGTACAAACCAACCAATATTTGGGGGGTGTTTTGTACAAAACGACCCAACTGTTTGGTCATATCAAGCCAAGTATTGGTTTGTCCGCTCATGACCCAAAAATGATAAGTGCAAGCGTGCATGACCACGCGCTGGGTCACCCTGGCCACCCCAAAACTTTGTGGCTGCATCACAGCAAACAGCAACCATGAACAGTTTGTCCAAATGACATCTGATAAATAGTGTGGACCACTTGAATGATTTAACAGAGATTCCCGCCACTGCCTATGAACTCAGGCCCATTTTGTGTACTGACAAAGTCTGTATCAATCTTGAATGTCAAACGTGATCCTGTATGTGAAAACACAGCAATGGCTCTGGTACTGACGCTGTCTATTAGCTTGGTGAAGGGACTGGTCGAGTTCCAGCTGCACCATTTCTTATGGAGCTGCGGCAGTGGAGGGAGGAATTCCTGGAAGGTGCGTACGCTCCATGCTCTGGGTCTGGCACAGCTGCCACTTCCATCAATGGTGGGACCAGAAGTTGAGGTGGTAGCGTCAGGCGGGAGCCAGTCGCCAACAGGACCGGGACCGGTGTCACTGTGCCTCAGGAACCGCTCCCTTTGCTAAAACAACAACACGTCAAGTGAGCCATGTATGCACAATGCAGATGAGAATGTTGTGCAAGGAGCAAGTGATTCTGGATTTGTGATAAACTGAAAATATGTCAATACCAAGAATAATACAAAAAAGTTTCAAAAATAGAAAGAAAAAAAAATCAGGTCTCCTGTTCACTCGAAAAGTATAATGAAAGCCAAATGAACTCAAAAAGTCCTACTTGCAAATGCACTGACAAAAGCTGGAACCACAGTGGCACGCTAGAGGACTCTACTGTATGTATCATTCGACACTGCAATTTCATACACGGTATGTAGATGTGTATATTTCAGCAAAAGTTTAAAAATATATATATTATTCAGGGTACCAAATAAGATTTGATTTTTTTTCTCTTTTTTTTGTAAAAAGAGAAGTCAAACCTATCAGTTGAAACAAGAGCATGTCAACAAGCAATTGAAGTATTCACTTGCATGCGCACAGTAAAGTAGAGCAGGAGAAGCTGATGTTAGCTTGCGTGATAAGAGTTGTCATTTCTAGCCATCCTTAAACGTCATTACGACGTGAAAATGTGCGATCAACATGCAGCGGTCTGCTCTACAATGCCATTTGGTGTTGACTTAGCAGGCTTGGAACCCTGGCTGAGCCGGTACGTCAAAACTGTACTTCCTGAGTACCTGGTTTCACCAATGGAAAAATGTCACCAGTGAATAGACCTACACAGTTTGTTAGGGTCTTTTTTTTATGTTCAAGGTGGAACTTGTAAGCAGCATAACAAGGCAAAACAACAGAGGGGTGACAAACTAATTATGATTGAGATACCCACTGGACGCAAATAGCGCAAATATTGGAGGCGGCATTATGGTCAAGCACTCAACTGCAGACACAATGGTCAATGGCCGGCACTGTGCAAGAGCCTTGTTATCGAAGCGAGCACGCATCTCTGGTACCAAGGCTGGACATGAAAATCAGAAAGCAGTGACTGGATTGATCTTATTTAGCAATTGCCAATGTATACATCAGTGAACTGACCGACTTCCTCCTTACACCTTCACTTCTCCCCACAGACTGCTTTCAATTTGGCAATTTATTTTAGAATGCAGTGGTACGATTAAAAAGTAGGTATAGACCCAGATCAATCAGAGTGAACTATTTATAAAATGACTCTATGCCATTACAGTGAAATGAAAAACAACACCCAAATAAACAAACACAGACTCCATAATCTTACAATCCAGTTTACCATTGAAATGACTTTGAAAGCTATTAATTGTTGCGGAACTGTCTATTCATTTCAACTTGATTTCGAAAGGTTAATTATGATTGACAGGCTGGACATGTGCATGCTCCATTATCCTTCCTGATCGGTCAGCTGCTATTATTCCGGGGAGGGCTAAGGTTTTAGGGGTTGCACCCATCAGTGGGAGAACAAGTCTCAAATAATCCTTCCCACAGAGTCACTAACAGCTAGCTTTGTCTAGACAAGAATTAGCTGGGGGTTTAAATAAAATGTTCCTCTGGTCCCCAAAGCACCCCGAACACAATGAGGACTTTGAGGTTTGATACGCAAGGTGACGAATGAGCCTCAGAACAGAATGCTGTGAGACATACCGGAGAATGGGAGGCAAAGGGGTAAGAGATGGAAGATCTCTGTTGAATTCAGAGTAACGGGTGCATTGCTGTATGTTGCTAAAATGCAACATCCTTTTTCAAGAAAAAAACAAACAAACAAAAAAAAAACAACATGGTTTCCTACATTAGAGCTTGGGTTGATGAACAGGACAGATCCCCAGTCAAGAAAGATCTTTTGGCCACCACGTTGCCACCGTCAACCAAAGCAACATGTATTGTATTATATTATATACAGGGGCGTCTGCATGGAGGACACACACAGGCAGACCACACACTGTGCACCAAAGCATGCATGCGATACACACACACACACACACACACACACACACACACACACACACACACACACACACACACACACAAACACATGCACGCACAATTGGCACAAGGAATCTGGCTCTGCCGATAATACTCCATTAGCCCAGGCTACAGAAAAGCTTGCCAGTCCTTCAAAAAAGCTGCCAGAACAGTTTATGCCAATGCCTATTCCAGGAGAAAACAAAAGCAAGCGGGGAAGAAAATGCTTGCTCAAAACACTTTTTTTGCCTGACCATTTAATGACAGTGAGTTGTTTGGGTTTGTTTGTTTTTAACGGGTTTAGGCGCATGTGAGCAAGTACCATTGTGTGAGTCTCAATACAAGCAATGGGTCAATACAGAGCCATGAAGACCGTTTCGCCACTATGGTTTGCTCTCAACGTTACATTGAACGATATGCCTTTAATACAAAGGGAATCGCAATGCTCAGTTGGCAAGTGATGTGGACTGCATTTATCCGTTTTGTTGTTGTTGGGACTCAACACATTGCAGTGTCGTCACTTGCGATATTTCTCTATGTATATCTACAGTGGTGTACCATATGGTTAGCATATCTGGCTCAGAGTCAAAGGTTCCGGATTCGAATCTCCGTTCAGAGCTTTCTGTGTGCAACTGCATGTTTTTCTACTTTTAATTGTTGTTTTGCATGTTTTAAATACTTTTTTTTTTAATGGTCCATAGGTGTGGATATCTGTTTCAATGGGATTTTGTCTGTATATACCCTTTAATTGACTGGAAACTAGTCCAGTGTACATCCTGCCTCTGGACCAAGGTGAGTTTGATCCCCCTTACCGCAACCCTTAACAGTACCGGCCGTATTAAATGGATGGATATTCATTTCATCTGAGATACGTAATTGAAAGCCTCGGCTGGAAATAACCAATCAATCAATGAATTTGTTGAGAATTTAGATGCTCTGGCATACATAGCTGTCTTGCAAGAAGGATGGCCTTTTTGGGCTCGGGGCTGACGATATGATGAACACCTCATCTGGACCAAAATCAAGCTCTGCCAAACCATTGGAGGAAAGGTCCAATTCCATATTCTGGGACGTGTCACCACCAGCACTCACTGAGGAAAGAGGTTAAAAAAAAAAAAAAAAAAAACAGTAAACATGTAATCCAGCATGTACTAAGAAAGCATTCTCTCGGTACAGGAAGGCGCACTTTAGATTTTTTTTTTCATCCCTTTCAAAACCTTTTCAACTTACTTTCAATCGAATACACTACAAAAACAAGATATTTAATGTTCAAATTGATGCTTTTTTTTGGTTGCAATAATTCACACATTCATTCAATTTGATGCCTGCAACATGTTGCCAAAGAGATGAGACAAGGGCAAGATGAACACTGTTACATCACCTTTCCTTTTAACAATCAATAAGCATTTGGGAACGGAGCTCACTAATTGTTGGAGCTTTGTCGGTGGAATTTTTTGCCATTCTCGCCTGATGTGCAACTTCAGTTGCTCAACGGTGTTGGGCAGGTTTGAGCAACTAAAACGATGGAGGGGGGGCCACAATTTTTCATCACCACTACTGAAGGGCCATATAGTACCGCACACTTCCTAACGAGACTTATGACAAAAATTACATTGTTAATAAGGACAAAATGTGTGCATATGGAACAAGGGTTACGCCCCTAATTAGCTTTGAATAACTATGAGGCACCCCTCGCATAGACCAACAGTTCCCCCCTTGGACCAGTGAAGGTGATACTTGGTACGGTTCACGGGAGCCAATGATATTAATTAGGCGACCAACAGAAGCAAGGAGGACACAAAGACACTCTGTTTATATAAATGAAAAAAAAATATTGAACATATATACGTAAAAATTGAAATATTGTCCCACAAAAATGCAGCAAAAAAGTGTAACCAAAATTCCCTTGTATTACTTATTACCTTCAAAGTCCCCCCCCCCCCCCGGCCACACACACACACACACAAAACACCGGTGACACATGATTTTGTTTCAATTTACCAAATGTGTTTTTGAAGGTGCTGGAAATGTTTGAATAACTGTCTGGATCCCAAATTATTTCAAAAACCCAAATTTTATTTCATCCCCATTCAGGATACAGTATGAGGAAAGCCTTTAAATTTAATTGGGAAATGAAAGCTGAGGAATTCTTCCAAATGGAAAGATGAACGCACAGACTGAGAATTCAAGAACCACAATGTGAGACCAGAACCTCTGGAAAGACCTGAACGGGATTGTCTGATTAGTAGCTGCTGTAATTGGCCATCTTCTGGAGAAAATAAAAACTACGTTTGACTGCATGTTGTCTTTGACTATCTTATAACTAAGCAACATACTTACATGCTTTGAACGTTTTTGTTTATAAAAAAAGCTTGCATGATATCTAATTAACACAAGACACACAGTAAGTACAATTACAGATAGACAGTGGTGAATAAAAGTTCACGTGAGACAAGAAAACAGGCAGGATCTGGCCTCACAAGACTGGTCCAGAGGTGCCCCCTAGTGGCCTGGCAGACTTCCGTTTCGTGTCGTGAACTTGCAACAGCGTTTTTTTTCTTACTTGCAGCATTTTTATTTTGCAGTTCTTCTATCTGTTTGTCTTTTTTTTTTTTTCCCCAGCAGCAGCATATTTGTGGTTGCAGCGTTCTGTTTGTCGCAGGGCGTTTGCAGCGCGTTTGCAGCGCGTTTGCACGTCGGCCACAGCAGTGCCCGGATCGTTGACTGATGATCAATGACGAACCATAGTGTAGCGTCTTTTATGGCTCAGAATAGCTCAAAATTGCCCTGGAATTTCTTCAGTGTCCTCCATCCATTCATCCATTCTCTTTCGCGCTTGCCCTCATTAGGGTCGCTGTAGAGCCAATTCCCAGCTGACTTTTGAGCGACAGGCAGAGTGCACCCATGGACACATACAAAACAACCACCACCATTCATAGTCAGACGGACACCCATGGACAATTTAGTCTTCAGTTAACATGCATGCTTAACATCCATGATTTTGGAATGTGCGAGCCTTAAGTCTGAAGCTGTTGTGTCTTCTCACCTGTGTGCGGTGGGCTGTACTTGTTGTTTTCCTGATCCCTGATAACCTCCTGGTTGGTCTGACTCTCAGCCATCGGTTGGAGCTCACTTACCTCCACCCTCATGTTCTGAACTGCCTCTGGCACCTACAGCACAACACGACAAGTCAAGTTTAAACCCCAAACCAGACAGCGGCAATGCTTTCTTTTATGTGGCAAGTTGCTCAACACAACATATAATGACCCTTCTAGAGTACCTGTTTTGATTTTGAATATTCACTGAGTGTTTTACCGAGTGGGGGTATTACAAGTCTTGTCTGACCCCCCCCCCCCGACCCCCCAGTTTTCTTTTTCTGACATATTCAGTATTGTTGTAGTTAAGTTCAACAGACCCTGTTAAAGCAAGGAAGCAACAGAAAACAGTGTAGTGGTGTATTTGTACCTCAGGGCTGGTGGATGCGCAGGAGCTCTCTCTTTTCAGACACAGTTTGGGTCTGTAAAATAAATAAATCAATACATTTCTCATGTGTATTTGGGTGTTTCCATGGGGAATATGGGAAAATGAGATTCCCTACACCACTTTTTGTTGTTGTTATAGTGTTAACAGCAAATACAGTATGTCTAACATATTACATTTCCAGTCGGTGACAACTATGGCAACCACTAGCTTGATGTGCTGTTTTCGATAACACTGTCAACAGAGCTGTTCATCTATTCACCCATTTTCAGTTATCTTTCCATCCCTTTCTTAACTCCAAATGAGCCAATGAAGCATGCTGAAATATTTGAACAAGAACCCACTTATTAAAAATTGCTCTTACAGCTGACTGAGCCCATTACCAAACACCGGCCAACTGACGGGAATGCATGCTGTGACTCTCTCCCACCTTTGGCTGCTTTTTTTTTTTTAAAACCAGAGGGGACCCTGAGATGTAATCTCAGCACTGCTTTCCAGCATTCAAGACCTGGCCTCTCTCATCATGTTTTACTGATTTGTGGGAAGTCGTTCAAAATAATAAGGAGCACTTCAAGAGGAAAAAGCTGCCATTGAGGCTGCTCATGGGCTTAAAGTTTCATGATCATGCATTTCCTGGCTTTCAAATAACTCTGATTGTTACTGTTAATCGCGATTGCATTTTATTGGACATGTGCTTTCAATTTCCTCGTCATAAACAAAATTGGAGCCTGAGGAGTTACGTGACAGATTTAACACTATACCCTTGATGTACTCAAAACGGGTTCAAACCTGATTCTGCATGCAAACAAATGTGGAAACTGATTAGTTTTGCATGTTGCAGAAGGAGCATAATTTCTTAATTCCACATATCAGCAATGTAATTTATAGAATTTGACACAAATTGCAATAGCTAATTTTGTGTCTTCAAATAGCACATCTGCGATTGGCTGTTGACCAGTTCAAGGTGTACGCCGCCTCTCACCCAAAGTCAACTGGGATAAGCTCCAGCACCCCCCGCAACTGTTGTGAGGAAATGTGTTACGGAGAATCGATGGATAAAAAGTACATCTGAAACACAGGTGTTACCAATCACCAATGTATGGCAGGCAAAATGAGAGACAGTGGAGAAACTTTTCTGCTCGTTTAACCATTGTTGAAATGTCACCAAAAAAATCTGAGACCTATTGGCTGTTCAGGAATGCCGTTCTGAAGCTTCTGAATGATCTTTGGTGGAGGTCATCAACCTGCCGATTATTTCGAAGGGTTACCAGTTTGATACATTTCCTCAGGTTACCTGTAATTATGTTGTTATTCAAAATCAGTGACGTTCCTGAGAACTCATTAACATGACCAATTACATCGAGTCTGTGTAATTGGTCATGTTAATGAGTTCTCACGCAAGTTCAAGGGTGACTTAACTGAGTAGGGAAATAGATAAATATCAGTATGCAACACCTTATTTCTATCAATCTCTGCAAATGTTTACATTTTCAAATTATCACCTCTACAATGTTCCTAGGAAATCACAATCTTCCATCCCTGGCGAGCTATTTGTCAAACAAGCTCGTAGGCTATTGATGTGGTCCCTAGGAGCTAAACTGTGCCCGCGGCCAGCATGTTGGTGATCCCCAATCTATCGGCTGAGTCAGCCAGTCACAAGAAGGAGACATGCCATTGTCCCTTCCTTTCAACTTCACATTTCTGTGCATCTTGGTCATTTCAGCACACTGTGACAATTGGTACTGGCTTGTCTCAGAGCAGTTTGGCGGGTATGACGTCCCAGGTTTTACACGCACTCTCACGCAGCATCGGCGAAGTCAGCCATGCGCCAGCCACCAAGGACTAAATAAAAACAAGGCATTGGCTTTTATGCTGTTGATGTCTTCTCCATAATAATCTTATCAATTTACCAGTATCTTCTGTAATTCACTTATAGTTTTTGGGCCACTTCCAATTCCATCACTTCAAACTTAATTTAGCACTTGCAAATGCTCCATGGTGAAACCCATCAGAGCTGCAGAGAGCGCACAACTCTCTTTTAAATACTGAGGTCTCCACCTCCTTTTACACCTGTTGCCAACAGCCCGCGTCATCTGTTAGAGTAAGTGAACACGCGGTTTATCTCCCGCTATTTGGGATCTGATTAAATCAGACCCAAAGATGCAGACACAGTACAGGTTATTTTCAAGGTATTCCATCACTTCAAACTTAATTTAGCACTTGCAAAGCTGCTAAATTAGCTGACATAACTCTTTTCCTTCCTGGCTCTGGCTCAGGAGGCCGACACAGCCATCTTCTTCAAACAGATAGTATTACAAACCACTAAACTCCCAGAGTCTGTCTATTGTCTCCTGCGATGGACAAGCGAGTAAATTATACCCCTTGAATGTATGACAAAGCTACTGTCACCAAACTCAATGCACACAGTTTTTTTTTTTTTCTACTCGTTGTGCCTTTTTCACCCCATTTCCCCACCCATTCAGTTTCAGGCAGCCTCCGTTTTGTGTGCACGGACTGAGGCCAGGTGCTGTACTTTCAATGTCCCACTGACTATAGTGAGATTGATTTCCATCAAAGGAGCCGCACACTTGCTACCAAACCGAACTAATCATCAAAGGTCACCACATCATGAATTGGGTCTTAGAGCTGAGTTGACATGACAATTTCTTTGCCTGCGTATGTGCTCGGTTGAGAATTTACAATTTAGAACAGCGCATTTTCAATCATGGAAGAAAAAGATACAACTTAAAAACAAAAATACTGTACACGGAAACAAAGCGAGGAAATAAGTTGGAAATATGCACCGACGGTATTGATTACTCAACTGTACTGGTTGAACTAGAGCAGGGGTGCTCATTACGTCGATCGCGATCTACTGGTCCCAAGTCGATCGCGAGGGGTGTAGAGGAGAAAAAAAAAAACAAACAACCATTTGTGTGTCTTTGTGCATGTTAGTAATACAGTATATTTTTTGTGTTAATGTACACTGCACCCTAATCATCCTATCAGTCTCATTTTCACAAAAAAGTATTAAAAAAATAAAATAAAGCAGGTAAATCTTTAACCCACGGTTGTGACCTGCGTCACCGGAAGTTGTTAGCGCTCAGCAGTCTGCAATTGCAGCTTGTGATCAGAGCTGTTGCGCTATATCTTTTATCCTGATCATTATTCTCATTCAGAGTTTGTTTCGTGTACAATTCACCGAGGGCACGGACAAAGAATAGGAATCTCGAGGGCCGAGGGAAGCACTTTAAAATGGTACGTGTGAGCTACGATCATTAACAGGCTGCAAAAGTGCGTCGCATGCCTCCGTGTCAGGCTGTTGCTCACCATGGCGTGCGTGTGTACCAGTATGTGCGTGCGCGGTAACGGGTCGATCGCGGAAGGTTGGGCGCCCCTGAACTAAAGTGTTTACACCATTAATGTGAAGTGCTGCGAGAACGCTAGGAAGTTAAAGCATTTTATTTACGCCCATTTAAGATGTTTTTTGTTTTTTTTTTTAATTGTACCAAATCCATCTGCTGTCAAGCGATTAATCAGCGCGGTATTTTACTCTGAAATTTCAGTCGAACAAAATACAGATAATGTAGATGATGGTTATCTCTCCCAGTACAGCCATTCACCATCAAAGTACTGTATATACTTTGCATTTCTAAACAACTTAGTCATGACCTGGAAACAATATTTGTCTTCATTTAAATGTTTTTTTTATGTCTCCTTAATGTGCAAAAGACTGTTTTTACAGGTGTTAAATTAACCCGCTTTTAAATAAGAATTTGTAAAACTTTGTAGTTTTGGCCACAATTTTTCAAATCACCGCTGGTATCACCCCTGTAAACGATAAATATCGCATCACTTCTAATACTGAGGATGTGCACAGACATTTCATTTGGTGGCCATTTTGCCACTTGCTGTCGAATGAAAATGACATCACAGTTGCTCAGGGCTCAGGTAACGACCAATTATAGTTTACCCGTTTTCTGAGTTTGGTCATCGTGACGTTCGCAAGCTAAGCCGTGATTGATCGTTAGCTGGACTCTTCGGCACTGTGATGTCATTTTCAGTCGACAGCAAGGGGTAAAAATGGCATCTGCAAAAAATACTGGAATGGAGAAAGTCATCATACCACCCAAATTGCATTAGCAAATTAAAGTATAAATGTTGGTAGCAACTCACCAATAATGCACTCTAAGTAATAATATAAACCTTATAAACATGGGTGTAGTAGCATCTTAATGGCCATATAAGAGAATGGACATGGATGGAATTTTATAGGAGAAAAAAACCATGCAGAAATTGACAAATATACATACACTGGTAGCAACGCATTGATCATGCACCTTAAGCATTAATATCAGCCTTACAAACATACATACTGTCCATGCAGAAGTGACAAGCAGAAACACATTAACATCCCATAATGCCATGTGCCATTCCAAATATACACAGAGTATTACAATTCGTTACTGGGAGGCAGTGTTTGGGCATATTTGGACTGCTGTGTCAATCGGAAGTGCATGTAAGAGGGGAGGTGTGTAATATGTCTCAGTTTGAAGTGGAAGTTTCAAATGTGAACTTATTACTTATTATATTACTGATATAATGGGCTTCACTAGACAAAAAAAAAGGCAAGGGGTTTATGTAGGAATCACGTGTTCTAAATGTGCTTCCATACAGAAGGTAAGTTTACAGAAATTACCTGAATATGACGCAGAGAACAGTGGTGAGTATCAAAGCGAAGAAGGCAGCTCCACTCACAGCAGCCAGTACAGAGTCTACATTGGCAGACGTAGAAACAAAGCTTCTCCGTTCGCCACCTGACTTGGTCAGATTGTTGTAGTGGAAGAGAAGGGCAAAGCCCCGGCCCCAATGCGTGGTCGTGATGAGCTCCATGATTACCTCCACCATCTCCTGACGAGAGCCAAACACCAACTGGCTGCTCGGAGGTCGGTTTGATCCACAGAACCTTGAGGAAAAGGTGATGAGATCTGAGATATAGAGAACATCATGGGGACAGGCGTCAAGCCCCGACTGCTGCGTTTCAGGGCTCACAGGTGTAGAGTCAGTTTCAGCGGATTGCGGCAAAGCAACTGCGGTTGCCATAGTCACGCTTGGGATGGAACTAGAGTTGATGTCGATGCCAAGATGGGAAGAGAAGGCCGTGTTGAGAGCTTTATCTGAATTTAACATGGCTCCAGGAAGGAGAAGAGAAGCGGTCGATGGCGATGTACGGCCAGAGGAACGAGCGATGGATCTTTTGGCTGAGTTTGAGACTTTTGCTGACTGTTGGTGTACCACCTCCGGCTCCACCTCACTGTCTTGAGAGGACCGCTGAATCTTTGGGGCATCCCTCTGATCGATCTGATCAATATTTTCTGATGAAGGCTCATCCGCTGAAAAACTGTTGGGGGCGTAAGTCAACTCGTCTTCTCCATCATCCTCATCATAACTGGAAATCACCGAGAACTGCGCGGAAGACTCATGGCTTTCAAACACATCAAAGTCAAATATCTCAAGGATAAGTTGATAATCCACAGGTACAAAGAACTGCCAAACACAGTGGGTCCCAGAAGAGTAGTTGTAAGGGAAGCCAGGAGAGAGTATCAGTCCTTGTGCATCCACCACATCCACCTTGGCACCACAGTCAAAGTATACCTGCAAAATAAATGATGAGAATCAAAACTCTTCTCTAATGTTGGCTAGTTCTGAGGTGCCTAAAGGTACATTAAGCAATAACAACATTTGAAGTAATGTGGCGAATATTGTGCAAACTAAAACTCAACCTTTAGGTTGAAACATGCCAATACTCGTTTTTTTAATGGTAGCTCTTTCGCTAATCTCTAGCTGTATTGCAAGCCATTTTCTCTCGCTACATTAATGAAGTGCATATGATAATAAAGGTAACATCTCAAATCACTTGTTTAAGTCCTGGAGATTTGATTATTAATGTATACAAACAAAGGTCTTTCATCATGTTTTTCCAATATTAGCCACAGTTTTATGAAGTGTAAATATATATATATATATATATATATATATATACATATATATTCATTTTCAGATCCGCTTAATCCTCACAGGGGTCGCGGGGGGTGCTGGAGCCTATCCCAGCTGTCTTTGGGAAGTAGGCGGGGGACACCCTGAACCGGTTGCCAGCCAATCGCAGGGCACACAAAGACGAACAACCATCCGTGCTCACACTCACACATAGGGACAATTTTGAGTGTTCAATCAGCCTGCCATGCATGTTTTTGGAACGTGGGTTGGAAACCGGAGTACCCGGAGAAAACCCACGCAGGCCCGGGGGAGAACATGCAAACTCCACACAGGGACTCTGATTTGAATAATACCCTTGATTGAAGTCTAATAGTTTCCAAATATAAAGCAGCTTGGAATTGAACTATTCAACTGTTGTTTTGCCTTTATATTAAGTGTTTTGCTCATGTGGGTTGCTTGGGTGACCCTAGGGAGGGTCTTTTTTTGAGCATGCTGGCTGTAATTCTTCACAGGTGGTTGGGGCTGGAGGGGGACCTGGGGCCTAAGCAGAGGCAGATGTGTGGCTGGGCCAAGGGGAAAAAAAGAAACATCAGACCTTTGTAGGAGACCTTGTGTTTATGAGTTCTTGTGTTAGCCTCACTTTCGGTCCGTGGGAATGACCCAGATTGCCAAAGCCAAACCCAATACCAGAAGGTAAAAAAACAACGTGCAATTTATACTGGGTTTAAGGCATATTAGACCAATTTGAGAACCTGATTTGCATTGGGGTGTGAGAAAGAGGGCAATGGGAACACACATGAATCTCAAGTTATGAATCGAGTTTGGCAAATTCAGTCATTCTTTCACAATTAATTCAAGACTATGTCAAAAAGCTAGGAATATGAACACACACCAAAATTGCAAATAGACTTGATTGAAGTGACTGCAAAGGGGACTATTTGCATACAGATTAAACACAAATCATAAATAGTTCCTAGTTTTTATTTATTCGTATTCCGATTTAAAATTATTTCACCCCAGCTGATGCCATGAGAAGCTTCTCATTGTCATTTTTCAATTGGCCAGGAAGTATAAAGATTGAACTCTGTAGAAGTAGAAGTCTTTGGAGTATTTTTTTAATTGCCCTGCTATGATGTTTACGAGTAGGCTTGGGCATGCACTACCAAAAACAGCCACAAAAATCCCACCAATATCAGGATTAAAAAAAAAAAATGAAATAACTAAATCACTGCGTCAAAATGAGGCAAAACACCCTCTCAGTTTGAAGAATTTCAGCTTTCAAAAAAAAAAAAAAACTAAGGTTTGATCTGATAGCTGTGGTCAGTTTTTTTGGAAAATGGCTCTGAAGTTGGGCGAAGATTTGTTACTTCCATTTTTGAGCCTCAATATCGGTAAAACTAATCATCCAAGACAAATCTTACTTTGGGGTATAAATATACCCCAAAGTGATTCCAGAGATAGAGACAGAAATAAAATAAGTATTTTATCTCGAAAACTGGTAGCACAGCCACTTTTCAAATTTGCCATTTAATTTTGACAAGCCAAATTTTGGGGAAAAAAAAAATGACACGGGATAATGCTGAAAAATGTAAACAGACACTGTGTCTTTGACACTGTTCAGCAGGATTGACTCCATGATTGCCTTCCACCAGGCCCCATTTCTTATACGTAACTCACTGTGACATCATTCAGTTTGTGTTGTTCCTTTGCGGGAGTTTTCCCTTCGGTGTGCCACGCTTTGGCTTTGGCAGTACAGTACTTTGCGGGAGACGACTTGTTGCTAATTGATGCTGCAAACCTAAATCACTCCAAATGCCTGACAGAATGATACCTCTGGTGAACTTGCTGTATATACACAAAAAAGCGACAACACGAGGCATACAGTTAATCACTCCTATGTCACGGTTCATCTTTCACGGATTTTTTTTTCCATGCATTTTTTTTTTACAGTACATTGTGTTCTGCATCCTGATTGGCGAAGGGACTGCCATTTCTCCATGACAAAACCCACAATGTTGACGATACATTCTGTCCAGTATTACTAAACACTGTCAGTTGTTTGTCAGAAAACATTTAGTTTTTTTTTTGTTTTGTTCATTCAATACAGTACTGTATTGTATAAGTCATATTTGTAAAAAAATAAAATAAATAATATTAGACGACTACTTCACGGGTTTCATTAATCACAGGTTCTTTTTGGAATGTATCCCCCACGATAAACGAGCGATTACTGTACTTACATAATTTAATGAGAGCTGAGATGCAAAAAAACAGGTCCTCGATGATCAGACAAAGCAGGGTTTACAGACCGCTTCTGATAATTTAAAACATTGGATTATACAGTGGAAGTTGCTAACCCTCGTCCAAGGAATACTCTGGGATTGTGTGCGAATGCTCAGACACAAGGAAAATTAGAGGGAACATCGGTCCCGGGTGAAGCGGGGGAGAGTGAGTCAGAGTGGACTGTGTTTCACGCCTCTATTGTTGACGCTGTGGATCAGAGCTGTGGCCCGAAACATGGTCACTGCATCATTTGCATGTCGTGGCAGTAATCTCTGAACTCGTTGGGGGACTGAAGAAGTAGTACTTTTTGGCCTCATGCAATTTCAGAGCCAGCTGTTAGCTACTGGCTAGCCAAGCAGAATGCAGCTTTGGCGTTCACTGAGGCAAAGAAATAAAATAAAATAAAATACAATTTCAGCCATTTGAAGAGTTTGTTGAGACATTGGGAAACAACCTCTGGACAGCTTCAAGGAACTTCACCATTTGATGTCTCCGGATGGGGAAGCAGTGTATCATTGCCACAGTATATACCGGAGATGGGGTGCTGCTGATCTTGACTTGTGCACCGATGGGAAGAATACTGTGAAGAGCACCTCAATTCGACAGACATATTTTTCTTGGAGAAAGCAGAGTCTGCGGACTCTTCGGGATGCCTTTGTGAAGTTGGAGAAAAAGGTTGACCATATCCCTTGTATCATTCTGTGGAGGGTGCTTTGGGAGTACGGTGTTTCAAAAACCCTGATAAGGGCTGTTTGGTCCCTGTATGATCGACTGTCCATGTCAGAGTTTTTGCCAACATTGAGTTGGATTCGTTTCCAATGAGGGTTGGAGTCTGCCAAGGCTGCCCTTTGTCAACCATTATGTTAATAACCTTTTCATTTCTAGGTGCAGCCGAGGCTTGGAAGGGGCCTGATTTGGTTGCCTCAGAATTGGGTCTCTGCTTTTAGCAGATGATGTTGCGATCTCCAACTCTCACTAGAGCAGTATGCACCCAAGTGTGATGCTGTTGGGATGAAAATCAGCACCTTCAAAACCCTAGACTGTGGTCCTCAGTCAGAAAAGCATGTAGGGTGTCTCTGGGTCAGAGAGGAGATCCTGCCTAGAGTAAAGGAGGGGTCTTTACTTACCTGCTCTCACTTGTTTATGAGTGAGAGCAGGATGGATCAGGAGATTGAAAGGCGGATCAGTGCAGCAACTGCTTTGATGCGGACTCTGTATTGGTTTGTCGTGGTGAAAAAGGAACTGAGCTGAAAGGTGAATCTCTCGATTTACCGGTCGATCTAAGTTCCTACTCTCAACTATCGACACGAGCTGTGCGTTGTGACCGAAAGAAAATATCTCATATACAGCAGCCGAGTCTGGGAGCTGCTGCTTCTCCACGTTGAACGAAGCTAGATGGTTAGCATGCCTCATGGACGCTTCCCTGTTGAGACTATGTCCCCTGGCTTGCCTAGGAACGTTGTGGGGTCGCCCCGAAGAGTTGTACAAAGTGGCTGGGCAAAGGGAAGTCTGGGCTACGCTGCTAAAAATGCTGCCCTTGCAACCCATCCATCCATCCTCTTACCCTCACAAAAGGTCACAGGTGTGCTGGAGCCTATCCTAACCTTATTCGGGCAGTAGGCGGGGTACACCCTGAACTGATTGCCAGCCAATCGTAGGGCTGACATAGTCAAACAACCATTTGCACTCACAATCACACCTAGGGACAATTTGGAGTGTTCCATTATCCTGCCATGCATGTTTTTGGAATGTGGGAGGAAATCGGAGTACCCGGAAAAAAAACCCCACGAAGGCACGGGGAGAACATGCAAACTCCACACAGAAAGGCTGGAGCTGGAATCAAACCCTCTACATCTGGACTAGATTCACACAGAAAAGCATCATGTTCATTGGAAAAAAATGAAACCAACGATTATGATAACCAACCAATTTGAGAATGATGGGAAAAGAAAAGTGTGAAGAAGGAAATAAGCAGTTCATGACCCAAAGCATACCATATTCCTAGCCTAGTTGAGGCAATGTTATGGAAAGTGAGATGTAAATGGAACTGGCTCACTGACTTTCATGAATACGACATGCAGCTGACAGAAGTAACAAGATAAATTGTGAGGTGCGTAGCGGACTCTCCTCTCATATTCAGTCAAATGCTACAAAAGTGATAGGGCACGTCACAGTGATAATGAATAAATAAAACAAACAAATGCTTGTCAACTACAAATACAAATGACATATTTGAATAAAATGTTTTATAACAATGCTGAAGGTTCATATGGGGAAAATGTGGCAATAATATCAACTTCCTCCCCTAATTGAAGGTTTTCTCAGTGAATAACTTGAGTAATTGACATTTGGAGGCAATTGCATTAGAGCATGAC